ATTTGTAAAGAGTCCTGAAGGAGAAAACCAAGAGAACACAGAGGGCTCGATAAAAGTACGGTTTAGCGGACAAGTTGAGGTAAAAACCTTATTTGATAAAACGTTATACATGTAAAGCTCAGCCACCATGTTTACATTATCTTTGAAATTGCTTTGCAGCTCACGCCCATCATTGCAGACCCAGAATACCTCCTTGACCAGCACATTCTCATCTGCATTAAATCTACAGACTGTGATGAGTCATATGGTATGTTTACTTAAAATGTGTGAATTTATATGCTTGCCATTTGAGCTGGCTAGTAGCTCCCATTATTGCTCATTGACCACTTTGCAAGCACATCATTTTCTGAATATGGTTCATATTCTGTTTAAAATAGTGATGAGTAGTCAAGGTTAACACTATAACAGAAATCAGCTGTTGTTGTTGACTCTGTTACTGTGTTCAAAATCGCTAATTTGTTCACTCGTTCTCCAATCTGCACAATTGAGTGCACTTGGCAGTAGGAGTGAAAAAAATATAACTGACATGTTTACACTGTTCACTAGAACACTGGAGCTGATACTATTTTAATATACTTTAAAACATAATTTATTCTTGTGATCAAAGATAAATTTTCAGCATCATTACTCCAGTCTTCAGTGTCACATGATCCTTCAGAAATCATTCTAATATGCTTATTTATTATCAATATTGTTTTTTGCTGCTTAATATTTTTTGGAACCTGTGATATTTTCTTCAGGATTCTGTGATGAATAAAAAGTAAAAAAAAGAACAGCATTTATTTATAAAATAAATATTTTGTAATAATATACACTACACTCAATTAATTTTTAAATAATTAAAAGTGATGATAAAGAAGTATATTGTGAGAAAATATTTCTATTTTGAATAAATGCTGTTCTTTTAAACCTTTTATTCATTAGAATCAAAGAAAAAAAGTATCACAGGTTCCAAAAAATAAATCAGCATATTGTTAATAAATCAGAATGATTTCTGAAGGATAACGTGACACTGAAGACTGGAGTAATGGATTATGAAAAGTCAGCTTTGCATCACATGAATAAATGATATTTTACAGTATAGAAAAAATAAAACTCTTATTTTGAATTGTAATAATATTTCACAATATCACTGTTTTTTTCTATATTTTTGATCAAATAAATGCATCCTTGATGAGCAGAATAAATGTCTTTAAAAACATTTAAAATCTTACTGATCCCAAATTTTTGAATGGCAGTGTGTATTTAAAAAAAAAAGCCACCAAGAATAAACACATAAGCGTACATTGTTGAATGTACTTCTGTATGTAGTATCTTGAACGGTCCTGTCCATGCAGCTGTTTGCGCCTAAAGCAAGAGAAATAATGAAATATGAAAAACCTGGAGTTGAACACCCCTAGTTTAGAACTTTATTAGGAAAACTATATTTATATGCACCTCAACTACTGGGATATTCCTGTAAACATGTAATCAGAATATCCGAATGAACTGAACAAAGGTTGAATGTTCAGTAAAGATGAAGTTACAGTGAGTATTCCGAATAAGCTGTTAACATGACTCAAAATTCTGATTAATAGTCATATTCAGATTTCAAGAAACTGGAATATTGACTTAATCTGGTCATTGCATGTGTGTACATGATGATTACATAATTTAGTTAGCCTCCATAAATGAGCGATTGAAAAGAACCAGTATATAGTGTATCCACACTAAACTGCCGAAGCTTACACATGAAATACAATCGTTGCAGCCCTTTCTTATAAATGGCTCCTGTATTTACACCCCATGTCAATTTGCAGTATGACAATATTCTCATTAGTACTGGAATATTCCTATGCATGTCAACAATCACGCTGTGCTCTGTCTGTAGGCGAGGGTTGTGTGGCTCTGCGTTCTGCTGAAAACTCTTTCACTGAGTTCTGTATCAAACTCACACATCACGGTGAGCGCACAGGTCGGCTAACAGGTGGCATTCAACTTCCCAAATCTGATGGAAAACAGACAGAGAAGCTGTATGGTGAGTGCACGGTTTGTTTCTGTACAGCAGAGCCAGTTCAAAATTGTGCTATAACGCTTTCCTCCCCGAGTATCCAGGCTGCGTTCCTTCCCTCAAGATTATGTTTCTTTATTCCAGATTTCATCAAAGTCGGAGATGACCCAGGAGCTGGTAAAGGCAAATCAGGAGATAATACCAAAATGTAAAATATTTGAATCTTCCCTCTTTTTTTACTTTGAAATTCTTCACAAAGCTTAGATTTGATTATGCTTGTACAAATACATAACTTTGACATTCTTTGACAGGTCTTCTTCAGTCCTCGCCACTGATATTAGTAACCCCAGTTATATGGGTGTAGGCTACAAGAGCAATAACCAGGCAGACAGGAGCCCCGGCAACATTATGTCCCCAAGAACAGGGCCATCCTCAAAAGACATGACGCATGGCAATCTCTCCCCAAAAAAGAGTAGTTATGACCATGCTACATCCAGCCCAACTACAAAGACATCAAACCCTATGTAATTATTAACCTTATTTTTAATGTAGAGCAGAGCAGATGCAGATATTTGTAAAATGAATGTGCAAGGCATCCGGTGTCATTTGCTTCCAGTTATTTTTAGCAGTACAAAACAGCTTGATATTGCAAACTAGTATTTCTTATCATATTATTTTAATGTATTGTCGCAATTGTTAACACTGGTTTTGCCGTTGTTACTCTTTTAGTTATGTACCTACCGTATAGTGGCTAATGAATTCACATTCACAGAAAATAGCTTACTTGCAAAATAATGTGGATATATAGATATATTTTTATCTCCTTTATCTCATCAATATGTCCTTTATGTCATCTGACAAATGTTTTTGATTTAGACAAATATAGCAAAGGCCAAACACTTTGCCAAACACTTAGTTTAATAACACTGTAACATAATACACAAAATTCAAAATGAATTATTTTTCATATTGTATATTATAATGTTGTCATGCCTAAATTCATTTGTAGCATTCAAAACAATTTATTTTAGTTTTTAGTGTTTTATTTTAAATTTGATAGAAAAAATAGTATAGAATTGTAATATCTTGTCTTTAATTTGTTGTCAGCCTTGACAGAAAAAGCCACAATTTTAATAATATTTTTTATACATTTAATGTTTATACAATTTTCTGTCCATTTGAATTTTAAAATGTGTTTAAAATCTGTTACTAATACCAATTAAAATATTCTTTTTGATGACTGCTTGTTATAAGAAGAGCTGACAGTTTGCATCTTTTAAAGAGATTATAGATTGATTTTCTAAATTCTATTTTTGTGGTTATTTTTGGTTTTAGACCTGAGGATGGGCAGCCTCCAGAGATGTTTGACAATCCTCTTTATGGCTCAATGAGTTCATCACGAGGAAGTAAGGACCATCTCCCTCCTCCAGATGCTCACTTCTCCTTTCCCAAAACAGACCTTGATGCTGACCGTCAGCACCCTGTTCCGACCCCTCGCTTCCGCTCTTTCACCTGTTCAGAAACCAAACCCCAGTCATCATCAGCCACAAACACCATGAGCAGTGGTCTGCAACCCCAGAACATCACCAAGAAGCCAGTGGTGCCTTCTCGCTCTGAAGGGGGCATGATTGGGCCTAATAGACCTCCGGTGCCTATGAAGTCTCGCCCTGGTCAGCCACAAGAGCTTCAACCAAAGCCCAGAGACTACAGAGACAGCTCTGAGCTTCCATCCAAGTTACGGCAACAAACCAGACAAGGCCAACCCAAAGACGGTATGATAACCACAGTATATTCTCCACATTCCTTCTATGTGGAAAACAGTAGATCAGGGGTCTCGAAACTCATCTGTCAACTGACAGCGAGCTGCAAGGGCTGTGTGTAAACAGCTCTATTGATTATAATGATTTGAAATAATGTATATTTGTGAAATATATATTTAAATACCTTTCCCTTCTCTTTCAATTGTAATGTCTGTCCTTAGGGCATCATGAGACACAACAGCCACAACTGAAGATGGGTCGGCCATTAAAATGATTTCCTACTGATGTGTCATGGCAGGAGAGCTGTCAGCGCTGGCGTGAGCTTCATATCTGATACTTGAGACTCTGTAGTACTGGGCAAAAGACATAAGCTTCTTTATCTCTGAGTACTAAAATGAATAAATGTATAAACAATAGCAAGACAAAGAACTTGGATATTGATTTTAAAATGATGAATGTTTTACCGTTTGAATGTCACTGCATATAGTCATACATAGAGCAATCATTTCTATCAGCCTCTGTTTAAACATTTCATGTTGCTTAAGACATTTTTATTAAAGAGAGAAGAGTGAACAGTTGTAATCGTATAATAAAACCAAGTGTTGTACAGTCATTGATTTCTTATTTGTTGATCTGTAGTCCACCAATAGGCCACCAATAGTTGTTTTTAGAAATCCAAGCAGTGTATCACTTTTCAAAATTACACATTTTCCATTTTCCCCTCTTTCCATCGTGTTTTACAATATATGGCATTGCAGAGCTTATATTGTAAATAACAAGGAACAAGTAATCAGTCTTGCTTCTCCGATTCAAATTAGACCAATATACCATGTCAGCTATATCACCAAATAAATAAATAAAGTTAGGACTAGTGCTGAAGAAAAAAGAACTACATTACTATCTTGTAAGGCTGCTCGAAGAAGTTTATGCAACTACTGGGCGAAAGTTAATAATAATTTTGCCCGTGCTTTGTTATTATTTGCCTCCATCTGCTGGTGAAAGGGTAAATTACCAGAGATTCTGCTATTAAAGGAGGGCCTATAGGACAACGGGATGTAAGTTTGCTAGTAAAGCCGTGTGGACACCGTGAAAGTTAATTTTCTGGCATCACTTAATTATTAAAAAATATATATATATTAAAAAAAATAAGAATTCATAAGACTTTTTTCGTAAATAAACTTTCCTGTTCCGAATTTGTGAGGCATTTTCCGCGATGCGTACAAATTACGTAGACATTCCTCCACCAATGGGAGCGTTACATCTGCACTTCTTTAGCCAATAGAAGCACGAAGTGACGAATCCGGCAGCTCTCGTTGATGACGTATGTGATCTGAAGCACAAAACCGCGTGAAAATGGTAAGTGTTATTTAGCAATAACAAACAGTGTTTTCCGTTAAAAAATAAACAGTTTTGCAGCGACCAAATAAATCTGTTTGCAATATTTAAAATGTATTATTGTTTACTGCACACCGCTGTTGGTGAGGAATTAATAATGGCAGCAGCCTGCTAACGGCTAGCTAACTTGTCCAATCGCAAACAATTTTTATTGTTATTCTTTTAATTTCAAATCGACACCGGACATTTTATAATGCCTTGGAATTTCTGTTTTCGAATAGAGTAATTTAGAGACACTTAGTGTGTACAATTAGATGACTTCGCTCATTGTGTATAACGTTGTACTGTATTTCACGTCTTAAAGCGTATTTTCATATCGTTTGATCAACCTTTGTTCTTATATCAGGCCTTAGTTTGAATGTAACATTCAAACATTTAATTTCTCAGCTCTTCTACTCGTTCTTCAAGTCCTTGGTTGGCAAAGATGTTGTGGTTGAGCTCAAGAATGACTTGAGGTAAGCACGTTCCTTTTAATATATCACATACTTTTAAAATATAATATGTGCACTGTGTAATGTATGTGGTAATTCATTACATTCTTAATGTCAATTTTGCAGCATTTGTGGAACATTACACTCAGTTGATCAGGTATGGCTGCACATTCCGCTTTATTGAAATATAAGCAAATATTGAGTGAATTTCACTTTAAAATGAAACGTGTTCTTCCTTCACAGTATCTGAACATCAAACTGACAGATATCAGTGTCACTGATCCTGAGAAATATCCGCACATGGTGAGAACCTGTCAAGTGTGTTCTTTGTTATAGATAAAGATGTGTGCATATTATTTAAACCACAATCACTGAATAGATTGATAACGAGAAGTAAAACTTAAATAGCAGAAAATAACACTTGTATGGTCTGTGCCTAGAACCTCAGCCACTTGAATCTGTCATGTATGAAATGTCATATTGAGTTTGAACAGATGAACACCTTCAGGAGAACAATTTCTATATATGACTCTTTATTATTTTAGTTGTCGGTGAAGAACTGCTTTATCCGTGGATCAGTAGTGCGATATGTTCAGCTTCCTGCGGATGAAGTGGACACACAGCTGCTACAGGATGCTGCACGCAAAGAAGCTATGCAACAGAAACAATAATGTTTACATTTGAGAATAGTTTTTTTTTGTTGGACTGTTCACAAGCATCATCTGTGGAGTTTTGTAGTTTAAATGTTTTTTTTCCTACCTGAAACTTTTATGTAAAGTTTGGATTTTTTTTCCCTAAATATTCATTTACCTCTGTTGTCATGAGGCCCATTACTGAGAGGGGATGACTTTTTTTTTTTAGTTAGTAGTGGTTTTGTGCTTTTAATAATTTTTGGAAGGTTCTGTATTGCATCCAAATGACTTTTTAGTTAAGTTCTTCGACCTACTAATACAAGAATAAAGCATTTTCTTCCACAGTCTACTTTTTGTTATTGTAGTTAAACCATTGAAACATTTACTGACTGGCTGTATTCAAATTCACATACTGTCTGAGTAAATACTTCTGTTGAATATGTAGATATTTTATGGGTGTTAAAAAAAGAATGTTTCATATCATGGATCTCCAACCCTGCTCCTGGAGCAGAACTCCCATCCTGCAGAGCTCAGCTTTAACCCCAATCAAACACCCGTAAAACATGTGGAAGAGCCCAGGGTTACTTGATAATTACGGACCGGTTTGCTGGAGCAGGGTTTGAACTGAAGTCTGCAGGAAGATAGCTCACCAGGCACAGGGTTGGAGACCACTAATATAAAACATACTTTTTTTTTTATAACAGTTGTAAATTATTTGTTTTATGTCGTATGAATGTAACTTGGATGTATGATATACGTCATGTGACCAACCAGTGTCACTTGCGTTGCTTCACTTTCCAGTCACAAATCCTCTCTTGTGGCCTCATGCAGTAGTTAAGTGTCCATTGTATGTGCACTAAAGAATCTTGCTGGAGATGACTTTTTAACCACTCCTTTATGAATACTTTGAATTTGGACGTTCCACTTGTCTCACGTACAGTTTTTGGCCTACTAGTGGGGAAGTATCTGATTTTGGATGCAGCCAAAGCATATGTTGCACAGCTTAAAATGTTTATATACCTGTTAAGATGGGGTGCACAACCCTGTTTCTGGAAATTTACCTTTCTGCAGAGTTCAGCTCCAAACCTGATCAAACACAACTGAACCTACTAATTGGGGTCTGAATGAGCACTTGATAATTACAGACAGCTGTGTTTGATCAGGGTTGGAACTGAACTCTGCAGGAAGGTAGATCTCCAGGAACAGGGTTGGGCATCCCTGGGTTAAGGTGTAGGAACAGTGTGTATGACTTGTTAAATGTGGGGGTGGGGGCACTTAAAGTTTTTGTCTTTAGTGTTTATTTTTCCTTTGTACAGTGTAGTGGAGTTCTGTAACTATTTTAAATGGTTAGAAGCTATTTGGTATTGTGCTTTAAAACAATATAATTCAAATTATTGATTCACTCATCTTTCACTATACAGCTTATTTACAGTGTTTTAAAAGGTGTCCCTAAAAGTACTCCTGGGGGCAGTGGATAAGATTTTTTATGACATTTCTTGCTATCAACTAGTTTCTACCTAAAACTGAAGCTTACTGTATTTGACACACACAAACTAATGCAACATTTGGCTGTAGCAGAGCATTGCTTCAATTTAAAATTTGTTTCAAAGTTTAAACTTTTAACTCCAATTGACTCAAATTTATACCATTTTAGCATGTTAATGTTATGAACACCTTTTAACAGAGTGCCCAAGGATTTGCTTATTAGCTCACCATTGAACTTGAAATCTGTTCATTTGGTTGAACCAGGTGAACCACAAAATTGAGACAAATTGCTATCAGCCGTTGGTTGATTTTCCATTCGAGGCATTACTGACACGCTCGCAGGTTACGTCTAAATTAAACAGATACGGAGTTGAATGCGAATGGTAGGTGTTATTTTTTCTCATTTTCATAACCGAGTTTATGGTTCTTACAAAACTCGGCGTGACCTTAGAAAGCGTTTTGACGTTCCGCGTCATTTCGAATTCAGAATGCGCCCATGATATCCACAAAGATACGTGTGGCAACATTTTATTACGACTACTTTTCTCGGTTTTGTTTTTCTGTTCGTGTTTATCACAAAGGTTTATTACAATTACTACCCCGTGGCATTTGAAAAGCACTATGGGTGACTTTACTGAAGTCATGAATTGGGGACGGTATTGATTTCTGATATACCAGACAGGTTCCAATGGTGCTAGTCTGTGTTTTCAGGAGAAATACATGAATGAGAGCTTTGATGTGGATGAGTGTTGCTCTGAGCTGCACCATGGCAAAGTAAGTTTAAAGATGGATAAGGACGTTTGTCAATTATTTAATGATTAGCAAGTTTTACGTTCCTTGTCTTGATGGCCTGTTGCTTTGTCAATTAGATGGATGAATGCATTGCCAAGAGTTCTCTAAACTCCTTACTCAAAGAGCTGTTAGATGAAAAGGTAGTGTTTTCTAAATAAAATGGCTTTAAATTATTATTTTTTTTTCTTCAGTGATCCATTTTTTTTCCTCTTGTTTTTTTTTAGATTTCTACTCGGAGAAAAAATCATTGGATACTTGGCCCTGAGGACCTCAATGATACTCTTGTTTATGATTTTGAGATTGAAGAAGCGGCCTGAGCTTTGTATTAAATGCCTACATGGTGTTGCTTTCACCTGGGAATAAATGTTGCAGGTGAAAGTGTAGTTTTTAAAAAATGGCATCAGCTAATAGTAACTTGTAAATAAAGTGTGTATATGTATATTTACATGCTGTGTAAAAATGTGTGTGTAGCCTACTTGTGAGGTCCTCACTATTAAAAAATATCCTCACTGATATAGTGAAACCTGTTGAACCAATAGTGAGCTTTAGTAGTTTAGAAGCCCTGACTAACATAGTGAAACAAACAGGTGTTTATGTAGGCCTATACCATATTTTAGGGACACATTTGTACTTTGATGTCATATAAACTGGCAAAACCAACATTCAGGGATGTTCTTATTTGTAAAAACAGTATTGCAAGAACATTGTCAGTTAGGTTATAGATACGATATATATGAAAATAGTTTATTGAATGGAAAATTGTATGTAGCAAAGTAAATCTGTAGTGTTGGGGGGAAAGTTATTTTTAAAAATAATGCATTACAGTATTGCGTTACTTCCTAAAAAAACTAATTACGTTACTTAGTTACTTTTTATGGAAAGTAATGCATTACATTACTTTTGCGTTACTTTTTAAATCTGGGCAGGTCTTGCTCGCTTGTTTTTAATATAAGTTCTATTTTTGGCAAATGTAAAAGCCCTTTCACACCAAAATCCTTGGGCAGAAGGAAATGTAAATTCACGTATGTACAATAGAATGCAGAAGAAGAAAGTTCAACACTCAAATAGGACAAATGTTGGTTTATCTTGAGTAATTTTTGCTTATTAGTATGGTTGAATTGGATCATCGAGGGTCAGGAGCAAAGACACTGGTTAATAAAATGGGATTAAATACATAAAGGATATTTTTATTAACATTTAATTATTGCAGGTTGCATTTAACTGTTTTTATTAATTGAGGAAAACTGAATCTGTTTTTTTGTGAGTGAGATGAATTAATGCATGTTGACATTTAGTCTAGAAAAAAAGTAACTTAAAGTAACATCTTACTCCCGTTGTTTTTATATAAAAAGTTCTATTTTTGGCAAATATAAAAGCCCTTTTACACCAAAATCCTCAGGCTGAAGGAAATGTAAATTCACGTCTGTACAGTAGAATTCAGAAGAAGAAAGTTCAACACTCTTCAGCAATAAAACAAAGAACAAATGTTAGTTTATCTTGAGTAATTTTTGCTTATTAGTATGGTTGAATTGGATCATCGAGGGTCAGGAGCAAAGACACTGGTTAATAAAATGGGATTAAATACATAAAGGATATTTTTATTAACATTTAATTATTGCAGGTTGCATTTAACTGTTTTTATTAATTGAGGAAAACTGAATCTGTTTTTTTGTGAGTGAGATGAATTAATGCATGTTGACATTTAGTCTAGAAAAAAAGTAACTTAAAGTAACATCTTACTCCCGATTTCTCTGAACATGGGGACAGGAGAGCTTTCAATCAATAAATTGGAAAAAAAAAAGTAACTTGCGTTACTTATTTGAAAAGTAACTCAGATATTCTCTTGTAAATTAAAAAGTAATGCGTTACTTTACTAGTTACTTGAAAAAAAGTAA